AAAGGTTGAATTTGAATTCCGCCTGATTTTCTTCCTATTTCTCTCTCTTTTTTTTTTCTCTAACTTTCTCTTCTAGCTCTCAAGAAAATAGTTTCTCTCTGACTTTCTCCGTCCTTCTCCTACCTTCTTTCTTTTGTTCTACGAACTAATTAGGTTTGGTAACTAATTGTTTCATAAGCTTAAGTGGCCAAGTTTAACTCAAACTAATCTTGCTTAGCCTCTAAGAAAGTTTCTTTGTAACTTTCTACGTCCTTCTCACTCCTTCTCTCTTTCATTCTAGAAACTAATTAGCTTAGTTTTATACTTAGGTCGCCAAGTCTGACTCGAACTAATCTTGCATAATCTCTAAGAAATAGAATTTTCCGAGTAATTGTAGCTTAACGATATTGGTTTAACTTAAGCACCTCATTTAAGGTTTTCTAAATCACATAAGTGCAAGCCCAAAAGGTTGAATTTGAATTCTCTTTTATTATCTTCTCGTTTCTCTTTCTTTTCCTTGACTTTCTCTTCTAGCTCTCAAGAAGAAAGTTTCTCGGTTACTTTCTCTGCCCTTCTCCTTCGTTTTCTCTTTTGTTCTAGGAACTAATTAGCTCAGACAACCAATTGTTTTCATAACCTTAAGTGGGGAAGTAGAACTCAAACTAACCTTGCTTTGCCTCTAAGAAAGAGAATTTTCTTAGTAATTCTAGCTTAACAGTATTAGTTTAACTTAAGCACCTCATTTAAGGTTTCTGACTCACCTAACTATTCAATTCTCAAGATCGAAATTGTGAATTTGAACTCCCTTTGATTTTCTTCCTATCTCTCTTTCTTTTCTCTGACTTTCTCTTCTATCTCTGAAGAAGATAGTCTGTCTAAAAGTTTCTTTGTCCTTCACCTTCCTTCTTTCTTTTGTTCCAGGAATTAATTTGCTTTGGCTACTAATTGTTTCTTTTTTTTTTTTGGGTAAGTAAGTCATAAAATAAAGACAATAAAATTTACAAGTTTACAAGGGGCATACCCCAGGCATTCCCAACAACAAATAAATAAACGAATACATAACCAACATAACCTACCACTGCACCCCCTAAGATTGGGGGAGAACCACAAGAACAACAGAAAAAACAAAGTAACCCAACTTTGCCCATATATCCTTTTGTCCCGAAGTAACCCCTACCATCAGAGATAATAGACGAAAACTTGGGATGGATATATGGGCAAAAAGATACAAACAAACACCAAAAAACTTAAAAGCCATAACAAGCAAACTCACAAAGCAACAACCCTCAAGACAAATAAAAAATGATAACCAACCACATTCACCCCCAGTCTCTACCGTAGATCAACACATGGAATCCAGTAAGCATCCCACTCCTCACAGCCGTGACATCCTAGCCACTCAACAAAAGCCATGACAGAGGAAAAAATCTACCCCATGAGAAATCCCGACAGAGTCACATGAAGCTAGCACGATCAGTAACCATAAGCAACAGTCCTGGGAG